AAAGAAGACTTCAGAGTTTTGGTGAGCTAACTCTGAAGAATGACTCTTCATACTTGTACTCTGGAAATAACTCTGAAATAAAACTCTGAAAAATGACTCTTCAGACTTGTATTCATGAAATAACTCTAAAATATAAAATCAATCCCACTAAATCATAGTTCAGACTTCTAAGTTTGAAAAAAAAGACTTCAGAGTTCGGGTGAGCTAAGTCTGAAAAAGAAGACTTCAGAATTCGGGTGAGCTAACTCTGAAGAATGACTCTTCAGACTTGTATTCTTCAGACTTGTAGAAGACTTCAGAATTCAGACTTCTAAGTCTGAAAAAGAAGACTTCAGAGTTCAGACTCCAAAGTTCGGGTGAGCTAAGTCTGGAAAAAAAAGACTTCAGAGTTCGGGTAAGCTAACTCTGAAAAATGACTCTTCAGACTTGTGCTCTAGAAATAACTATGAAGTAAAACTCTTAGGAATGACTCTAGACTTGTACTTTTGAAATAACTCTGAAATATAAAATCAAATCCACTAAATCAGAGTTCAGACTTTTAAGTCTGGAAAAAAAAGACTTCAGAGTTCGGGTGAGCTAAATCTGAAAAGGAAGACTTCAGAATCTGGGTGAACTAACTCTGAAGAATGACTCTTCAGACTTGTAGAAGACTTCAGAGTTCAGACTTCTAAGTCTAAAAAAGAAGAATTCAGACTTCTTTTTCTAAGTATAAAAAAAAATACTTCAAAGTTCATACTTCTAAGTCTGAAAAAGAAGACTTCAGAGTTTAGACTCCAGAGTTCGGGTGAGCTTAGTTTGAAAATGCAATCTTCAGAGTTCGGGTGAGTTAACTCTTTGGAATGACTCTTTAGACTTGTACTCTTGAAATAACTCCGAAATATAACTCTGAAGAATGACTTCAGACTTGTAATCTTGAAATAACTCTGAAATAAAACTCTGAAGAAGTCATCAGACTTGTACTATTGAAATAACTCTGAAATATAACTTTGAATAATAACTCTGAAAAATGGGGTAGCGAGTGAATTCTTAGTAAATAATCATCATAAGAATTGATGTTTGTATCATTGTCACTTGAGTGACAGTTAAATATGGTGATTACATTAAGCTAACCATTTTGGATTAGATATGTTAGTTAAGTATGAACCATAGGCTTGTTGAATCATCATTTGTTTTTGGAAGAAGTTTGTAAGGATAATCGACTTAGTTGTGGATTATCGCCTTATGATACTTGAGTTTTCCAATGTCGGTCTTGCAGCTAAGAGATTCGGCGAGTGTGATTCGGTTCGGTTTTCGACCAAATGCATGCACCATATTTATTTTTGAAATAAATTGCATAAATTATTCCATAATTGCCAAAACTCTTATACCTGTCAGGTTGCTAATTTTGAAAAATGTTTTAGCAGACATAAGAGTGTAGCCCACGTTTTGAATCTTCGTAAACTATTTTGGTTGCCTAAGATTTACATACAAGTTTCGTGGAGAGTTTTCTTCGTACTGTTTTTGCTATTATTGCAAATTATTGCAAAACACATTGTTAAATAGTTTCAAATTTGAAACTGTCAGGAATTATTTCATTTCTTATCCAAAATTCATGCACCTGTCTTTGTTATCAGCTTCGGATAAGTAAATTAATGCATATAAGAACTAGATCAAGTTTTGAAATGAATGAAACTACTTTATTGCATATGGTTACATGCGAGTTTTATTGGACTTTTAGTTTGTGTTGTTTTGTGGCTCACGGTGAAACTTTGAAATGCAAACACTTGCTTTATTGTGCTTGTTTGTATAAAACGTTTCATTGAGAATTTTATCCTATGCGATTTTGTTGATTAAATGTGAAGATTTTGATGGCGTTCAGTTGTATGGTTTTCCCTTTAGTTTTTGTGCGAACTGTTTTGTTGCATATATATTATATTTGGGGTTTTCTTCATGATATTTTAGCCAGTATTTTAGAATGATGAAAGCATATTTTTGGTTGGTTTTAAATTTGAAACGGTTTATTTCGTATTTTAACTAAAGCACATGCACATATCATTTTACCAGTTTTGAGAAATAAACTAACGCATGCGAGTTTTGTTGGGGAATTTTATTACATGTCGTTTTGTGGCTAAAAGAGAAAATTTTGGAAGCTTAATGTGGTGTAAGTTCTCTTTTCAGTTTGGTGCAAACATATTTTGTTGCACACTATTGTAGTGCACGAATGGAATTACATACATGGCGTAAATAAGTGTATGTTGGGACTATAACATCTCTTTAGTTTTATTGTTTTTAATATTTAAGATGAAAATTGTTTGAACTCACTAGGCATTAAGCATAACTCCTTTTATTTGTGGACATGTGCATCAAGTCCTTGTTGGGTAATGGTACTAGTGACACCATAGTGATGTAAGTGATAGTTAGAGTCACAAGATGGATTTAGCTATTCGGTTACGTCTTCAGCGTTTGAAGTTAACGACTATTATTGGGTTTTAGCAGCACCCAACTTTGATTGAGTCTTTTTGTAAGGCTTAGTTTATCAATTGTTGATGTTAAATCTAGATTTAATATTTGAGGTAATTCGAATATTGATTTACACAAAAGAATTTATCTTGTATTTGATGGATTATTGAAAATTTTAAATTAGTTGTTCTTTCAAGGTTTGAGGGTGTTACACTTCTCGTCGTAGATAACGGAGATCGAAGTTCAAGGGGGAGTCAGAGACAAGGGTGTGGTGGCAGTGTGTCCTAGTGGTGTACCCTGGTGGTGGTCGGATGCAGATCTGGTCACTTGGAGGTTGATGGAGGTAGCGCCGGCCATGGAGGTTGATGTAGGCATCGGCCATGGAGGTTGATGTAGGCGCTGATGATGGAAGTGGCATCAAAGATTTGGGAAGAAGACGACAAGACTCAATCTAGGGGCCTTCTTGATTCCTAAACCCTGATATACATGTGTGTGTGTGTGTGTGTGTTTAATAATATCATATAATAGTTAAAGACGAATTAAAAAAGGAAAAAAATTAAAAGACCAATTTACCCTCATAGTTAACGGATACATTAGATGGACATAGAGGGATAGACCAAATGCAATACAAATTGCATAAATGGAGGTTTCTTTTGTAATAAAATGAAGATAACGGACTAATTCTGTAACAAACCTTTGGGATCAAATCTATAATTTACTCTATTTTGATATTAAGTTGTTTTTCTAAAAGAAAAAAGAGGTAAAGGACTAAATTGCCCTCGTGTAAAAGACACATGCCTTAACTTAAATGGACCTTATTTTACAATGTTAACTTAAAGAATCGTGGGTGTTATGAAAATGAAAAATTATGAGCCACCAATCTGATGGTGCGTTTAAGGAATCATATTCAAATTTTGAACAAACCACATAGTCCTTCAATGTAATTCACTTTTAGGAGGCGTTTGATTCGCAAAATATTTTTTGAATGAATAGAATATGTAAAGGAATTGGAATCTGGAAGGAATTGGAATCTGGAAGGAATTGGAATGGAATGTTATCAGATATGACCAAATGTTTCGTTGGCAAAAAAATAAAATGTAATCTGCCAAATGAATTGGAATCTGTTTGTTTGGTTTACAAAGGAAATGGAATGGAACAAAGAAAAATGACAATAACACCCATTGATTTTTTTTTAAGTATAAATAATATTAAATTCACATTTAATTTGAAAAAAATATGTAAACTACCATTTATAAAATAATATATAAACATAAAATGTGTTAAAAATTGAAATAATAATAACCGAACTCATTCATACACCTTACCAAATCAAATACATATATAATATTGTTACCAAACTGTTCTGACACATGGTTAGAGGTTGCCAAACCATAACAATCAAGCAATAAGTACTAAAAATATTGTACATACACATTCGGAGACTGATCATTAGTCTAACATAAACCAAAGTTATTATTTTCAAAGTAAACCGATCGTTGGTCCAACATAAACTGACCCCAAAAAAATATCAAATCATGAACGAAAATCATATCAGTACCCCAAATCGTATCAAAAGCATATCAGTAAACCAAATCATAAAACCTAATCATGAACAAAAATCGTACACAAAAACCATATCAGTAATCCAAATCATGAAGCCCATCTAGATCGACTTCAAAATCATACACAAAAACCATTTCTAGAACCCTAGTCAATAACAAAATTGTTAGAAAAATCATGAAGGAGAGCATTCATACTAGCAAAACCGTAAGCAAAAAACCCGAGAGCTCTTGGGGTTTTATGTTTTTATGAGGGCATTTTTGTTATCTTAAAGATACTGATTGGAATGAAATTCAATTCTATCTTTTATGAAAGAATGATGAAACCCATGGTTGAGGGATTAGGAGTCCAATTCCATTTTACGGGTAAACCAAACGTCAGAATGGAATTTGGTCTTAACCATTCCAATTCCATCAGATTCCATCAAGGAACCAAACTCCCCGTTAGGGTTACCTTAAGTGAATATAAATTGATAAATTTTTATCTTGTTCCACCAATTTATTGGAACAAAAAGAAAACTTTATATCAAATCTGGTCCCACACAATCCCCGTCCCATATCACATCAAACATGAAAGAGTTTTGTCATGTCTCATGTCACACCAAATATGGAACAAAACATTTTATTATGTTTTTTCATGTCTAATCTAAACAAACAATCGTAATCATTGCATACGTTAAAATTTGGTTCTCAAAATAAAAATTAACACACAGTTAGTTACATTTTGATGTAATTTTCTTTTTATATCAAATTTTAACACGTTTCTATATTTATATATGATTGTATCAATAAGAGAATTATAAACGTAGACAAAAGCATCAACATTGCACGTAAGTCACCTTTGTCCTAGCATCATATACAATACGATTCTATAAATGATATAATAAAAAGATGATATGAATTCTAGACGATATATTTTCAACATCCCCCACTTAATAATCCCAAAATATGTTGCAAAAACCCCTTTTAAGAACTAGCAAACACTTTTTCTTCCATCCATACCAAAAATAAATCATTTTCTGCTCCATGAAAAGCAGCCACAACCCTGAGCCATCAAGGAACAAACCAGTAAGAAACCAAGAACGCAGACGTTTTAGTGCACCACGCCCAATTCTATGGGTCTCTGAAGATTACAGCTAGTAAAATCCTCACGAAAAACCTCGAACCATTTGGCTGGTTAAGGTGATCCGATCCGATCCTCAATGTAGACAGTTGGTAATTAGGATCCTTATATGTTGGCCAATCCTAGTAATAATTCAGGTGGCAATATCCTCTAACTTAGGGGTGTTAAAGATTCTAAGTTTAAAACCAACTACTAGAGCTTGAGTCAAACTCGAAGATAAAATTAAGCTCGTTTAATTTAGAGCCAAGCTTCATGACACCAATGTCCAACCCGGCTTGTTCAAAAGCTCAATTTAATTTTTTGAGCCAAGCCGAGACATTTGAGCATACATGTTTTCGAGCCAAACATCTTCATAAACCATTAAATTAAATTATAACAATTATCGAGCCCAAGCCAATAAACGAGTTAATTGACCTCAAATTTGAGCCCATAAACGAGCTTGTAAAGCTTGAACTTTAGGCATAACTCAAATTTGTTAAACGGGCATCAAGCTCGAGCTTGAACATTGAAAAAATATTTGAAAAAAGTTTTGAAGCTCAAGCCTGATATTTCTTTCTTAAGCCAAGCTTGAACCACCTGCTACTCGACTCGACTCGGGTTGTTAACGCTCCTACTATAAATCAACAAGACTACTAGCATAATATAAGAGATGTTCAAATGGAAGAAATCCACGGACCTTTGTGTTGTCATTGCCATGCCGGTTTTGACCATAAAAATTAGCATTCTCAATTGTTATCATTGGCGACTTGGCTCCTCCATTGTGTCTATCCTCCCTTGCTTTGTTGAAGAGTTGAGTGTAACCTTCACCTGCTGTAGGATCATTATCATCCCAATCACCAAATTTCGGAATTGCAGGGCCATCATCTACCTGCCAATATATTTTCTATGTTATTACAATTTGCTAAGAATAAAGCCCTCAGCAGATCATCTTTTGTGCTCCACCATCTCTCTAGATCTTTTTTCCTTTATATAATAATATCTTTTTTTCATAATATATTGATTGTTTCCTAATATAAAGCTGATCATAATTAATGAACTCTAATAATCTTTGATACATATTCAAAGCATAATAAATGAACCTTCATTATTTCCATAAATATACTAATTGATTGGTTTGTAACTTTTGCAAGAAGGGTAAGAAGGGATCTCCACCTTTGGATCAATCCTAATTGAAGAGTTCCACTAGATCAACACTAATGAGAAGCACCAGATCAATTCCCTTCTAAAGCGCAATTCATGGGTTGGTTTAAGATTAAAAGTGATCAAGGGTCCAAATCCCTTGTGCACTTCTCACTTGACTCCTATTCTCATACGATCCTTCGTCTCTCTCTCTCTCTCTCTCTCTCTCTATATATATATATATATATATATATATATCTATGGTTAGGTTTCGGTAACAAGGAGAATTAAGGTGAGAAGTAAGAAGGGATTTCCACCCTTGAATGCACATTAGGATGAGATGCACCAAGATGAGATCATCGGATCAAAACCCATAGCAAACGATATTAATGGGTGAGTTTGAGATTAAAGGTGATCAAAGGTCCAGATGCCTTCTTAAGCTTCTCATCTTTAACTCTCCTTCTCACACAATCCTTCGCCTATATAGCAAATACTCAATACACACTCCAAACCTTTGGTAGAGCTTGAATCCATGACCTCCACGGAGGCTGGCTCTACCCGGATACCGCTGAGCCAATTACCTTTGGTTCTCTCAGGATCTTGCAGGCAACTTTATGACTAATGCATTATGTATTAGCAATGGGGTCTTTGCTACCAACAGTAATTCTGATAGATATTTGAAATTCTGATAATCTATCTAAATAGCTTATAAATACTTCATATGCTTGCAGATTATATTGGTTTTTCCATATACTGAATACTCTTCTACCATTTGTCATAGGCCTAATGGATGAACCAGGCAAATCTATGTGTGTGAATTCTTTATTATAATTTAAGCAGCATGTATTCTTTTGAGAACTTACAGTTTCTTCACCACGAGTAACTTGTTTCAATCGAGATCTTCCAGGAGTTGAAGAAGCTGCACCATGGCTACTTTCTGAAGAAACCTTTCTATCCCACATTGGTGAAGAACCTGCGCTACCCCTGTTCCCAACTCTGGCTTGTGGATGTGGATGCATTGGTGAGTTATCAATGCTCTGATCTGAACCAACACTCTGTCTTGTGGTCCGTATAGGGCGTGTAGGAGAATCGCTCGACTTTATCAGGTCAATTTCTTCCCTGCTCACATGAGTCACCAGTTTTGTTTTTGATGCACCCTTTGGTCTATCCGGTTCAAACTTTGTTGAATCACCACTCTTAACCTCAGTTTCATCTTGAGCCTGAAACGGAGGATCATTGTCGGAAGAAGGGTCAGGAATTTGTGGTTTCATCTTTCCATTTCGATCTTTCTTTGCCTTCTAAAAGTAGGAAGTGTAAGGAACATCTTCTTCGCTTTCCCAGTTCCCAAATTTGGGAACTTGTGGGCATAGCTGGAGGATTGAGGAACAACAAGAAATGCAAAATCGGACACATCACCATTACATTCTTTTCGTCCACTTTTAACCAAATTAACATAACTCAAAACTACGGTGGCCACGATCAACATTTTCCCCACCAAAAATGTTTTTACTCGTGTAGTCACCCAGTTTGATCAAAATCAGTTAAAAATGATGTAACTGATGGCATTATGAGAGTATTCTAAATGATAAATCTTTTTGTATGATGCAACTTGACATGTCTAATCCCTTTTGCTGTTTCAAACCTTAGATGAGAAGCAATCCACAATCAGGAAATCAAACACACAATATTGATATGTTTAGGATCTTCAAAGAATGAGACTGAAAAAAAAAATGGATTCGCAAACCCCAAGGGGAGTCGAAATCAGACTCGATGTCCAACCACACAGACTTCACAAGTCCACAACCATACAAATTCAAAGGTTTATGCCATCCTTACCATCAAGATAGAGCTCAACTCTGAACTCATAGTTCCTGATTACAAGAGGAAGACAAATGACAAAATCCAACAGAAAGTGAGAGAGAGAAAGAGTGATGCTTAGATTTGTCGGTGTAATCATCTTGTTACTGGTAGGCTGCTGAAGGGAAGAAGGATGAGTTAGGATGGTTTGCCGTTAAACCATGAAAGCAAATACCGATAAACCACATCCACAAACCCTTGAAACCCTAAACAAAAACCTAACGAGTATTGAAGTTCATGAACAGTATCAAATCCTCAAGAAATTGCAAAATGTCGGTAATCCAATCATCATTAACATTGTTACAAACATGAAATAAGCAATAAACACCATCAATTTCCAAAGAAAAATGCTAAATTCCCTAAGCCAAACCCTAGACTTATCAAAAACACAAAGTGTACAATTCATCAAGATAATCAGAAATATGAATAAGATTAGATGAAGAAATATGAACTTACTGCCATGATTCGTGTAGGTTGAACGAATACCCGCCGTGGGTATGATCCAAAGAAGTCGGATATTTTATTTCATAAATGGCCAACGCCCAAGCAGAGGCGATGACTGGTTGACTGGCGCCACCGGTCATCTAAGACTTGTTTTTATGGATATGGCGAGGAAGACCAACCGTTGACGACGCTGGAGATTGAGTTGGCTACCGATAATTCGTCCGACTGCGTCACAGTCAGCGGTCATCACCATCCCTTCAAGTTCAACCTTCCAGACGTTTTACTTTTTCTTTTTTTCTAAATTAAAGCGTTTTATAATTTAATTTGTCATGTTTTATTTAATTATCGAAAACTAATGTTTGACCTTTTTTTTCTTTCATCAATCTCGTTTGAACATCCAAAACCTTACCAATACATATTGGAGACGAATATATATATATATAGCTTCATGTGTCATATCCTATACAATACATATTGGAGACGAATCTATAGGAAAACGACCCCCCAAAGACAGACATAATATATCATGAAGAAGGTAATCGTTAACAACCATAATATATCCTGAAGAAGGTAATGGCTAGCAACCATCGTTAGAGGTGAGTAACCGTAACTGAAAACTGGAATTAAACCGGATCACGTTGGTTACAAAGAGACCGATTATTTACGGTCAATTCTTATAAGTTGAGCAAATTTGGCAGGCCACCAACATGTTATAACGGGAAAAACCTTGGTTTATCCACCTTTAATACAAAGTTTCAAATACTGAAACAATTGGATCGCTTGTTTTAAATCCTTGATAGAACTGACAGAGGATTCCTTTACCACTCCTTTTTCTAATATATCAATATATTATTTCGGTATTCTTAACCAAATGCTTACTCTGATAAGCGTTTACCAAGTCACATTATCTAACCGAATGAATATATTAAGGACCAAAAATCTTACCCGGTAAGAGCGAGACAAGAACCAACAATCTTACCCGGTAAGAGCGAGACAAGAACCAACAGTCTTACCCGGTAAGTAAGAGCAACGACTCTTACCATGGTAAGCGATTACCTGATAAATTGTTGCATGCAATATCGTTTTGGTGGACTAGAATTTTACCCAATAAGTAAATAATAGTGCTAAATTTTACGGGTAAGCACTTACCAGGTAAGTATTTGGTAAGCGGCCACTAAGTAATATTAGAAAACATATGTGCATAATTAAGTATATATATATATATATATATATATATATATATATATATACTAGAAGGGTACTCGTGCAATGCATCAAGACACATTTTCATTTCATTGTTTCGTTTTTATTTTTTATCCATATCGATATAATACGATTTTATGTGTTTGAAAAATAGATAATGTTTCTATTTTTTAATAAAATATAAATTTAAAAATATCATATAAAATTTGCAAAAAATATTTCAATATTAGTATCAAATTAACTATTTAAAAGTTCTTTTTTGTGTATTTTTTTAATTCAGAATTTTTATTATAATTTAATTTAACGTAACAAACTATCTTAATTTAGGTATAATAATATATTTTTTATAAAGATAATAATTAAGTATTCTGTTAGAACTCAATAATTATCCTAATTATATTTTAGATTTTTTATATTTTAAAATAAGATGTTTACCCTCTATTTGATTATGTTTATCCACAATTAATTATACGAATTCAAATATAGAGATTTCATAAGTTGTACATATGCATAATTTACTTGTAATCTTGAATTTTAAGTAATATGCATCAAATAAACGGTATTTTATACATAAAAAATTGTTTTTAAGAGTTTTTGTCAAATGTTTTATAATATAGTGTATATATATATATATATATATATATATATATATATAGATTTACAGAAAATAAGTTACATCTTGAAGAACATTATGGCTCCTAAGGCTTGATGCAACCGCTACACTCCGCCATTTATAACCTTTGTTTCAGCAAAGAAAAAAGTAGTGGCCTTCTCAAACTAAATGGAACACAAGAAATACCGTCAAGAGTAGGATGAAGATACAAGAAATGACTCAAACAGGCATACAGTTTCTGGGATGAAAAAAGCAAGGATTTTTTTAGTATTTTACAATCGCTCACTATCAAAACAATTTGTATACAAAGCTGAAAGTGTTGCAGATGACACAAATACTTGACAAATGGCGTAGTCGTGATCCGCAAAAGCGCCAACATTGGGTTTGATGGCTGACAAGATCTCATAAAACAGAGTAGTAGCAGCAGCATCCATCAACCATGCAGAGGTTTAATCTTTTTTGCAGAATCAATTATGTTTTGGTTCATTTCTGGGTGTTTGACATTTGATAGTTTCTGGAGTTGATTATAAGCCTCGGTTGAACAAAAATCAGTTGGGTCATCCGAGTTAAGGGCAAATATAACTTCATTCACATCCTCTTCAAGCTGAAGGTAGAAGAGTTTGTTGAATACCTGAAACAAGAAAAGGTTGACCATAAACAGCATGCGAGTTAAGGCACCCATAGTGGGTGTTATTCGGTACACCAACACCAAAATGGTGTGAAGATTGGTGTCTAGTTGATGCGAAATCGTGTCAAAATGGGACTTGGTGTTGGGTTCGAGATGTTCTTAAGGGGTCATTTAGAAGAAGTTACACCTTGCATATGATCAAGTTGTTATCATTTTTCTATAAAATAAAGTTGGTCCGATCAATCAGATATCCCGTGGACTAGTGGTATGTAGTTTTAAGTGGGAACAATAAGCCTACATTGGACTCTTACCCTTTTCATTCTTGATACAACCATTTCCTTGATTGCTGACGAACGCGATACCAGGTTAATAACGAAGAGACCTTCCTTGGACAGGGAAATTTTAACAGTGTTAAGAAAAGACTCTTCAATAAAGTCTGCAGCAGGACAGGTCATTCCAGAGCTGCATAAAAAAGAGCGGAAGATAACGATAGAACACACATAAAGTTAAACCACGAAAAGAGGTAAAAACATATTCTCGCATTATCATAGAAATTCCCATTAAAGAGGGTATGCTAACCTCGAGTCTGGAGAGTCGACATCTACTATGAGAATGTCCAATTTGTCAACGCCTACACCTTCCGTTTTAAGTTCGGCATCACTCTCATCAGCATTAGGAACTGCACCAGCTACTGTAGTGKTGGCAACATCTCCCACAAATTTGACTCCGTCAGTGACATGTACCTGATTTGTTAAACGGGGAAAAAAAAAGTTGAAATCGGATTATTGTTAATGCACGGTATCATGGACAGAAAAGAACTTCCGATATCTTATTGTCTTTGCCAATGAAAGGATGCAATTGTCTGGGGAAGGTACTATTTATAGCATTGAACAGCAATATAGAAAAGATTAAGGAATAAAGTCAAATCTGAGCCAGATGAAGAGACAATATGTCTCAAGAGCAACATCAATCGACTAAAAAATAAAGTCAAATCGGGTACAGTTAGCCAACTGAAGGTTCAAAATCTATTTGAACATATATTTCCTTCTAGAGAAGTCAGTGGTATAAAAATAAATGCACTACAAAATTCTAGCAGGTATGAGTAGAGACACACCCTCAAAACTGCGATGGTTCTGTGGTACAATTACTCAAAGTAGAACAATCAAGTAAATAGGTGATGACAATTGGTCAATTACCTTTAAACGTTCATCTTCTCTGAAACCAAAATAGTCCCGAGCAAGTTCCACAACTACTGGATCTAACTCTGCCGCCTGAAGAATCAGAAGTACCCAAGTGGATGATTATAAGCCATGTATTACAAGAAGTTTTGTCCCAACCCTTTGTCTAGACAAGTAATTTGGCTTAGCCCTTCAAATTACCTCAACATGGAGAAATGGAATGCATTCATGGAGAAACATGGGAAGTAGCCCAGCACCAAGACCAATTACCACTGCCCTAACCTGGAATGTAGGTAAATTATGTTTTAGCTGTATAAATTAAAACCATAGTCGTCAAAGATAATTCGACTCCATATGTGATACAAGATTACAACTTCCTAGTATTGGACATGTATCCAAAAGCGGGAGCACTAATTCGCTTTTCATTTGTGCACATAAGTAAACAACCACCATAAGTATTACCTCAAAATTGAACAAGAGAACAAAAGAACAAGGATCAGAATTATCGTAGCATGAAGAACTAGAATAGAAAATCAACTAATAACAATATCTGCTTATAAGATGAAAATACATATAAAAATTTACATGATAGGAACAGAACCGAAATACTTCAATTTGGAAAAGGTAAATGCAAGAGTTCTTACTGTTCTTCCAGATGATGCCACTCTTTCCAGGTACGAAGAGATCAACATAAATCCAGATATTATCCCAGAATGATAAGAACTTGCTAAGTAGCCATGATCAACATTCAGATAGTTGCTTGCATCTGATACATATAATGTAAACCCAAGGGAAAATCAGAGCCAAACAGATATGGAGTAGAATAGGGAGATGCAAAATAAGCAGACGTTAAGCAGCAGCAACAGCCAAGAAAAAAAGGGATGCCTACCATCTACTAGTGACACGTGAGAATCGGTTTTTTTCTGGCTTCCTTTTTTCTTTGTTTTAGAAGAAGAATGGGATTTCTTATTTCCTTTTTCACATACAGTTTTTTGAGATCCTTCACTTGTTAGCAAAGCTTCAGACTGTATCAAGCCTTCTGATCTTTCAAAAGTTAAGCGGCGAAATACAAGGTCCTTGGAGAGGGATAGATGACCAAGTTCGCCATCAACTTTTTCGTATACCACATCATCAACAATTATTGGACCAGTCAGCGCAGATGTGACCTACGAAACAAAACCAAGTATCATGACTTACAGCACAAGAAATATAATATGAAGCAACATAACGCTCTAAAGTGGACTATTTACGGGGGAGGATCCAAAACCTGGTGAACAACTTTTCGCTGCTTGATCCCATCACTTGCTGCCATGAATCTATACAAATTTCATCCAGATAGAAGCATATCAGTATTCAGTAGAGAGATTCTCAAAAGAAAAGCTGAAAACACTTAACGTGAAAAGCTCATAACTGAACGCACGCAAAATATGGTACCACTTGCAAAATGTAAGATATTTCATGGTAAGTGGACTTTTTGGAGTACGGTTCGTATCATATTGTCAAGCTTTTTTTCGGTTCACTTCTGACCAAAATAATTTTTCATGACTCAAAGATATATATAAGGATTTGAACGCCCTAAAACTTGTATCAAAGTCGTCCAGACACAGTGGAGTTAGTATAGAAATTTGAAAATGAAGATAGATACAATTGATGCAAGCTTTACAAACTTGTATATAGTCCCAATGGAGTGTTGTAAAATGTGAGTGACAGAAAGCCTAAGTACAACCTCTATAGAAACATCCTACAAGGGGAACGACAATCATACACCTTTTAGACCCTAAAGTGGTATTCATGTACATGGTGATCATGCTCTTTCATACTCCCTTAAACCTCTTAGTGTCTTCCTTAAGGTGGTATAAAGATTCAAAAGTTCGAGCATTAACATAATTATATTAAAAGTAACCTTTTGGTTTATCGTTTGATATGATAGTCAATATTTGAGTAGGCTTTTGCATCAATTTTGGGACCTTAGGAGTTCTCATCCAGTCATCCTTAAACATTAGAGGTATAAAAAGCTCAAGGCACTTCATATGGGATGATCTAAAGGGAAAAGATGACAATTTGAGATGTTGAGGGCAAGGAGCATCATAAAGCGCTGAAAGGGGCAAGGTAAAATTTAATAAATGAATCAAACCAAAGATGGGAAAGACTTGCATGTGAAGTGTAAACTATGTCAGAGGACATAAAGCCTGCTCTCTTTGCCAAGAAAGTAATCCAAACAAAGATCTTGAAAATAGTTTCAATTTGCATCGAGGTTTGACATTAAAAGGAAGTACAATTACTAAAAAAACATACGGAATTTGAGCTGCATCCTCAATTTTAGCAGGTGCCAGTTGTTTAACAAGCGGAGAAAGATCCTTCTGAGAAAAGGAAAAAAAAAAGAGAAACGATTCATTCGGTTTATAGTCATCAATAGACAAGTTATATATGTGCCCTAACCATTAATCATAAAACAAAGACTCACCTGTATATCCTCACTGCTGGCACCAGTATGGCTGGCATCTAGGAAAACCTGAAATGAATGCATAGTGATTAATTCAGATGCTACAACTTGATTATTTTATAGACAAGCTGTGTGGTTGCAAATTGCAAAATAGCTACCATTATCAGTCGCGCGGACTTTGAACTCTCAACAACCATCCATTGTCCTTCTTCTGAAGAGAAGAGCCATTCATGAGCCCGAGTCTGAAATCTATAATCTAGTTACACAATTTATAATAAAAAAATACATGACTGATTGCTGTTTTTGAAATGGTATGATCTAAAAAAACAAATAGAGTTTTGAAATTTTTAGTGAAAACTAATCTGTATCAAGTCAAGGGAGATGACGGTCCATAACAATTGAATAACTCTGCAGTTCATATACTGATTCTAAATAATCCAAAAGAAATCTTTTGGTTATGTAGTCAAAAGGAAGGATAACCAAATTTTTCTCTCACAACTAGCTTTAATAGTCATCTCGCAAGTATTACCTTAAATATGTATTTTTTCGGGATGTATAAAATGTAAGCAAATCAAAGGAAAGACTACCTTGGGTACAAGAAAAACCCCACAATGATATAAGAACTCATCAGCATTTTGCTGAGCATCTAGAAGTACAGTTTTGTAGCAGAAGCGGGACTGTCCAGGTTCACCTAAAGTGAGCTGTACCCAACGACCCGGGCTAAGCTCTGATAGATCACCTTTGACTCCTATTTTCAGGTCTTCAAGTGAGTATAGTATATCATTATCACTGGAGCACTTTGTTCGAATTTTGTTCTCTGCTTCAAGTGCTTCGAATATTCCACGAGCCTAAAAATATATGGGCAATTATACATGTGAAGTTGCAATAACATCAAAATGGTAATGAAATATACTCATATGTCCCAAAGAAAGAGAACTATAAAGCTGATAGATCCCTGTACCTGATCACCACTATCAAGTGTATCATGATCAAAAGACGTTGATATTGTCTGTATGGTAGTGGGACTTGCTTTCTCAGCAACCACCATATAAGTTCTTAAACTTGATCTTTTAGATGGTTTCTGAGGCAGTACATGAATACTGATCTTCCATCCGTACCGGAATTTGGGGAAGAGCATCCCTGAAAAGATACATGGAAAGAATGTGTGGTTAGCACAACCACAAAGTGATAAAAGCATCTCATGTTTCTCCAGAGATAAAAGAGCCCATCTAAATTGTCCCAATGTTTTCTTTGAACTGAAGAAAGTTCGTGAAATCATAAAATCCAACTTCAAAAGAAAATCTGTGAAAATACCTAAAACATGAGATTCTCCAAGGGTTAGACAAATAAATTTGCCCCCTTCTTTCAGAACTCTTTTTACCTGGCAATATTATAAGTTAGGGACATCTTGCTTCTAAAGATGCACAGCAAACAAAAAAATATTATTTGTAAACTATGCTAAAAAATTGAGTCCAACAAACCTCTGATACATATTGATTCCCTAGCATTGGGCCGAGCTCAGGCTCCATTAGAGCATCTAATCCTCCCTTATCAAGAATGGCGTCAAATAACTTATCTGCAAACTGGAAAGCAACAGCAATCAGAGAAAAGAGGGTTGATAAAAGTAAAACAAAGTTTTTGAACAATAATAAAAGAACCAAACACCTTAATAAGTGGATCAGCTATTGGCAAGCCATGTCTTTAAGTACACATTATGTGTGTGCGTGTGTGCCCAATTCCATATTCTGGACTTGCCTTTATGTTTTTTTAGTTGCATGAAATTTTATCCAATTTAGTTTTAGTTTTACTTGTATCATGATGTCCTGGCCAACTTCCTTTATCAGTGACAAATACAGAAAATAACACTTTCCCTACTTGTTTAGACAAATCCCATATTCATGCAGTTTATGGCCCTTGCATCCATATATTTTACGTTTTCAATTCTAGTTCTACACCAAATTGTTAACACTATCTGCTTCTGATGTACCCTAACCTTGCAACTTGCTGACGAGAGGAATGTATGAATAGAAGTTCTCAAGTTCTCAATATAAAATTTAGCATACTCTCAGGTCAGAAATAAATAAAATTAAAGGACTTTGTTTTAATTATTTTTTAATGAACTAAAATACTTTTGAGTTGCCGGATTTTTTGAATAAACTAGTCAAAAGGACCAAATCGAAACAAAAGGTAACTACAAAGTGGTTATCATAAAAACCGAAAGCGTAGTTTACTTCTAAAAAATTAAACCAACAACTAAGCATGCCAAAGAAACAACAAACCCATGTGGCTTTTAACGAAATCTGAACAAAAAAGAGGTCCAAAGAAACAACCCTCATGATATTGAACAACCCCAAAGGGGACCTTAGGGGGCTCTTCGAGATCAGGCAAGCTATTCAACCTATTTAAATAGAAAGTAAACCTATCTGGTAAATAACTTTTTATGCTTTCAACACAAACATATACCCAACCTCCATTTATATTAGTTATGTATCATGTACTTGGACGCTAATTGGAATGCTTACAAAAATACGACCATTCCAACAACTATTTTTAGCTAAAAATTAAGTTACTTTGACATAAATAGATACGTTACCAACACAATAGAGTTTTTAAGTACATCAACCAATACGCCAAAACAGGACCAGAGGAAAGAAGCGGAAAAACAGAATACACGCACTCTCTAGGTGTTTGTGTGTGTGGCAATTGTTAACTCAATAATGATGATCAAAGTAAAAATCGGAAGAAACGAAATACCTGCATACTAGTCATATCCATGACCCTCCACCGCATACCAGGACGAGAACGCACGTTCCGCCTCAACATATCCCCAATCACAACTTTAGAAAAATCAATATTGGTGATATAACGGAATCCGGCATCGTATAGTTGTTCAGAAAGCCGAGAATTGCCGCAACCAGGTACAAGAATCTGAACCTCCGATGTTTCTCCATTGACTTGTGGTAGTTCGGAAAGCTGTGTAAGAAGGACGTCGCGGAGCTGAGGCCACTCGGCGTACCATTCGAATGAGTCGTCGGTGCCTCTGATACTGAAGAATTTGTCCCAATTTTCTTTGCTGGTGAAATCCTCGAGGGTGCTTAGAAGTTCTGCTTCTGCTTGTTGCCCTTTCTTCTGCTTCCCCATTTCTCTCGACCTCCGTCACTGTATGTGAATTTCAGGTTTCTCGAGGGTTTTAGGCCAATTGCTCGACCCGGTTACCATTTCTTCTTTTGGGCCGGGTATTGCCTGTTTTATCCGGATTCAGAGTATTCATACAAAAAAAATTTAAAAATCATTTTTTATTTATGAAATAATGTTTATTGATTCATGTTACTTAAAATTCAAGGTTATAAAAATTATACATAATTATAATTTATTAAAGCTTTATGTTTAAATTCGTATAACCAACTGCAGATAAACATAATCAAAAATCTCATTTTAAATATAAAAAAACATAAAATATAATTATGATAATCATTGATACCTAACAAAATACTCAATTATTATATTTATAAAAAGTTATTAATTAAACCATAAATAAAAATATGAATTACAGAAATACACAAAAAAAATAGTCAGTTTGATACCAATATAAATATTTTTTTCAATTTTTTATGATATATCTTATATTTATATTTTATTCAAAAATAAAAACATTATCGTTTTCTCAAAATCACTTAAAACTATATTATAATATCGACTGAGACAAAACAAATAATATGAAATATTAAAATCTAGATGTATCTCGCTACATTATACGAGTACCTTTCAAGTTCATGTTAAATCATTTAGCTCCGGCCCAACCAATCAAACTCGACCTAAGGGGTTGTTCGGTTGCGGCTTAATAGACTGTATAAGCTATATGGCTTTTTCGCACAGCCATATCTAGTTGTTCGGTGTGGGCTTATTCAGTCAGCCCATAGCTGAACCACTCAACTACAAAATGAATATCCTTTGTATTCAGCTGGTAACTTTCCTCAACTACCCCTCTCCGTAGCTACTCCTCCCTCAACACAATCGCCTCCATCCTTAAATAGAAAAAAAAAACAAATCCATAGGGTGAAACCTTTCAAACAAATCGATATCCTCCAAACTCCAAAAGTCTTCATCCATGGAAACCATCATCGTACTCTGCCTCACCACTCATTGATTGTCGCCTCCTTCTCCTCATCTGCTCTGACCTACAATATCATCGCCCATCAGCAGCCCGATGGAGGCGATGAGAGCGACTGTGTTTTTTCTGCTCCTCATCTGTGTTTTTCTTCTGCTCCGACTGTCACCTGTGTTTTTTCCGAGTGAATGTAAAAAAAATCAAAATAAACGGAGAAGACGATGAGTAGATGAGAGCGACGAAGTGAGCGACCGATTAAGGTTTCTTCTTCACGCTTGCTGAGTTGCTATCTGAACCAGCGACGTCCGATTAGATTTAGAAAACGTGAGACGGTGAGTCAGTAAGGTGATGACTGAGAACCGAGTGTGAGTTCGTGAAATTAAAGAGGTTGGATTGGATTTGGATACTTGGATTGAAAACAAATTAAAGAGGTTGGATTGGATTTGGATACTTGGATTTGGTATTTGGATTTGGATTTGGATTTGGATTGGATTTGATTGGATTGAAAAACCATTATAGATTTAGAAAACCCCCATTTTTGACATTGGGTCTGAAGGGTAAAATGATCATTTTTGATATTCAGACTGTTTATTCAGCACAACAACCGAACAACAATTTATCTGTTAATATACAGACAATCATATCAATACAGACAGCTATATCCAAACAGGTCTTGACAGAAAACAAACCGAACAGCCCATGTTGTTTACCTTTTACTTTTAGGACCCTTTGCTTACCTATTAATACAATTGCCATACAAAAACTCTTTTGAAGTCTTAATTCATTATTGAAAAATTTATGTGTTAGTGTGAGTGTGAGCAAAAAGATTTTAATATCTTTAGTTTTATTAATTTAACAAACATATCTTATTTTTATTATTAATCAGCTCAGCTTATTTGAGCGTAATTATAATTATATTTGAGCGTAATCACTCAAACAATGAATATATAAAAGAATCAGCCTTGCTCCATTAGATATGTAAACGTTGGAAAATGTCGTTGATGAAAGGATCAATTATATCATCATCTGACTTGAAGATAGTCGATCATAATGAATAATTAAAACTCATTTCAATAAGTGTGCCGTTAAAATCCCTTTCATGAGTAATATTTTGAGAGGTTAATTGAAAAGCAAAATGAGATGATAGATGAAGACTTTCTTTTTCATCAACTTTTTATCAAGATGACAAACTTTCGTTATTTTGGTGGTCCCAACGTTTGAATGTGTTGGTCTCAATCATCTAATTTGTAAATAATTTATTTAGTATTCGACGAAACACTAGAAAGAAAATTCTTAATACTTGTCTTATAGTGAGTATATCTGATGAACAACAGTCATTGGATGTAACTCAAAAGTATTGACATCCAAACCTTAATAACTCATAAGGATTAAGGCTTCGGATGTTGATCACCCATCGGATCCTTGGCTTATATAAAATTGTGAAGATCAACTCTTTGATTTGATGATTCTCCATCCGATTTGGAGAATTTGATTGACCCCTCATTTTAGATCATTCCATCTTGAGTTTCTAGAAGCCATGTTTCATACCAAGTGATTTTGGAATATGATGAATCCACTTGATAAATATTTTATAGCTGGAATCCGATGTATACTTATATTTTGGAAAAGAAATAGATAGGATTTTTACTTGTAAAGGTATTGTAACTATCTGTATTGATCCAAGAACGAAAAACCTTCAACATAATCGAAGACTAGTTGAAGTGAGGTCAAAATCACCACCAAAGTGAATTGGTTTGTCATCTAGCCAAAAGGAAGATCAGTACAAGATGAAGTCAACTAGTAGTCTGACAAATACTACTACTGACAAACCGGATTTGGAGTTCAAACTTGTGCAGCAAGTTTAGGTCACCAACTCATCCAACACTTACTTTAGTATGGGAACATGCGCAACATGTCAGTCAAAGTAAGTTCTAAACACTATTTTATTAGTGTCATACTTTCTTTATTGTTCCATCGGCATACAAAAAGAATGGGATAGAACAAAAAGTGTCAACATCAACTATAAAGGCTGAAATGAATAATACATGCATGTATAGATTAGCACATCAGACGAATACACACGTTAAAGTTGGACAGTAACATTTAATGCAATGGTGGCTCTAAAAGGGCACCGTGTCTTTCATTGTTACTCACCCCGTTTTTGTTAAATTTAAGCTAGACTTAGTTTATATATACTTATTTATATGTTTATGGTAATTACGGTAGTTACTTAACCGTTTCCTATATGAAGGGTTACAACGGTTGGTAAACTATATATATATATGTGTGTCAGAGTATGTTTTCAGTGAGTTGTTGATGACTTAAGAAATAAGAATATTGTGTTTAGTCTCAATCATTGTTCAACAGTTTTGACAGAACTTCTATGTAATAGTTTCTTAAGCAAAATCGGCATTAATACCTGAAGAACTATCTTAGTCATTCAAACCTGAAAAAAGTACATTATTCTCTCGCTATTTCAACGTGAGCAAATTGTCACCAACCAGATTGTCTAGGATCACGGGTCTTACTTTCCTAGTTTACGCAACAATTATGTAATTCTTTGTTTTAATACAAAATATATAACTAAAATGAAAATATGTTTAGGTTGTATTCACCCCCATTCTACAAACACGTCATGTGTAGGTCATTACTTTTGAGGACCAACATAACGTTCTTTTGGATTTTTGTACCTGATTGTAACTCTTATTAAACGATCAAAACATGAAAGGATTTTTGGATTTTGTAGTTTGGACGTATGGATAGCATTCGACATATATTCATACTTGATTTTGTCAATGAAGGAAAATCACAGAGGTTGGATAAAGATTGCCAATGGCAACATACAATGGGATGATGGTGTACTTCCCGGGAACCCGTAAAAAAAAAGATAAAGTGTGGTTGTATTCATGAAAGAGGATGGATAAGGAGATCGTGACAATGAGATTAACCTTAAAATTGTAAAATGAAATAATTTTTTAGTTGGGGTCATAGACAAACCGTAATCAAAACACCGAAGCCTAAAACCAATCCAATAAATGAAATTCCTATTCGGATCCACCCAATACTCGATCCAAAACCCAAATAATAAATGGATCAAATAAGTTAATAGACACACCCGAATAACAAACACGATCAGTGTCGCGTGGAAGAAAAAGAGATGGTTGTGTAATATATATTATATAAAAGGACTTGTAAACGTTACAATTGAAGATGTAATGACTTGTTTTCAAATGACGAAAACTCGTGGAGAACAATTGTAAAATGTAACTACTTATTCTTTCAATGACATGGTATCTGTTATGTGCCCCTGGTCTATGAATTTCTCAGATCCGAGACTTCCATGACTGCTTTCCTTTTTTCTTTTTGTATCTTTGATTTTAATATTTTTTATAGACTTGTTAACGTTGATTGCCACTAAACATTTCCTATATCTTTCTATCCCTTTTGCAATTTCGTGGCATTCAATGAGGCTACCTCTGTTGATGTACTAGTGCTTACATGTATTCACATGATTAGGTCGAAGCTACAAAAGTATTGTACATGACTCTTCGAACCTTCTCATATTAGCTACATGCCGTTGATGTTCAAACTTGGCTATTGCCCGATCAGATCTGGGTGCGCCTAACCCTTCCCAAACCACTTTGTCTTACCCTATGGTTTATGCAATACTTCAGGTTATCGAGACCGAGGTGTCGTAGGTTAGAGAACCAGTTTAAGACATGAACCACATAACTATAACATTTTTAGTGGCACATCAATCACGATCATATTCAAGACTCTCGGCAACCTCACCTTGATTTTCGTTCATTTTCCATACACCCTTACCCAATAATTGAGAACACCGTTTCATTCTAGCTTGTGGGTGGGTGTTTTATTATTCGTCCTTTCTTATATTGTTTGAAACTAGGGTAACCATTATACACTTAGCATTAAGCAATCGTTTGACATACTAACTACACATCACGATTTATAACCACTATATATGTTGAGCCCTAAACATTTTAAGAAATCATGGAGTAGTCACTTGTTCCCACCACTCAACTTATAATTGCACATGACGATAATCTTGACTACTATGGTCTCCTATTTTACGTTTGTCACTGCTTAAATAGACACATCATCATGGGTTAATTTGAAAATGATATTGACCTAAATATATATATAAATAATCAATCCCGTCTAAAAAATTCAGATTTTCATATATATTTAAAAAAAGGTGTATTGAGACAAAAAAATAATAATTTGAATTATGATCTTGTAATTAGTAATATGTATGTTTTTTATTTATCATTTTTAAATATTAGAAGGGTAGTCACGCAATGCAGCGAGATATATCTCGATTTTAATGTTTCGTTTTATTCTTTATCCGAAGATGTTATAATACGGTTTTTATATGGTTTTAAGAAGGGAATAATTTTTTTTATTTTTGAATAAAATGTAAATTTGAAGATATCATAAAATTTCAAAAATAAATATATCAATATTAGTATCAAATTAACTATTTAAAATGTATTGATTTTGTGTAATTTCATTAATTCA